TCCGCGAGGTAGTTTGCTGAGACATTGTGTCTAGATTTGTGGCCCAGCTCCCAGCCCCGAAATCACCTGTCCAGCCAGAACCAGAGGCCCGGTTCTTCCCCCCGGGTGCAACCCCCCTGCAGAAGCAGGTCGCTGTGAACGCCTGGTCTCTCGGGACGCGTCTGCCGGCCGGGCAGACAGAGAAATGTGAGCGAGGGTCAAAAAGAAGTTACATGGAGCTTGTAACTGAGGATTTGAATCAAATCCTGGAATTTACTCAAAGTGCACTTTAAAGGAAAATAGTATTTAAGTCTTCAAGTGTTTTTTAGAGGCACAAATAGTTTTGTATTAAATACAAATAATATAAAACAGTTTTACCTTGATTAAAAAATATTAAAAAAAAAAAGGTTTGCTTGCATAAGTTTTAATAACCCCGGCGTCAGCTCACAGATGTGGGGCCTTGGCCTCTGGCATATGCAAAAGACTTCAGGAGAACAGCGAAGACATTTCCTTCACAGAAGGTGAAGCAGTTTGAGTGCTGAGATTTGAAAGGAGGCAAGAACTTTTTTGGGGATTTTTTACCTAATAAAGTGATACTTTCTCATTGCACATAATTTGGAAGAAAAAAAAACCTTTTAAAAGTAGAACATATATTTTATATAATTGTGATGATTGTGAATACATACTTAAGTATTTGACTGTTTTTATGCAACTTCAGAACAATTTGCTCATTTTCCAACTCTATAAGCATAATTGTTAATGATCTAGAAGTTTCTTTATCGTCTTTCCTGCTCTTACACCAAGCAGCAACTTTCAAACCTTTAGCCCTCAGAGATCTGTTAAGGTGTGTCTTCAAGGAGGCGTGGTCAAGGAAGCCAGGTGGCAGGTCAGCGTGAGGTGTTGACTGTGCCTTTGGGAATCTCATTCCGGCTCTTGTACTGCAACAAAAGGACACTGTACAATCTCTGACCCCAGAATTTCTCCTAGAAATTTGCTCTGCAGAAAAACGCAAGCGGTCGCGTAGCAGGCCCCAGCGTCCCCTCTCAGGGAGGCTCTGTTACGTCCACGTCAGCTCCTGTGGGCCGCTCTGCGGGGCCCCCGGCATGCTGGGGGTGTTTGGGGCCTTTATTTAGAGATTATTGATGTTTTCATGACCAGAAACATGCTGTAGGAGCTGAACTCTCTTTCTCAACTTTTTCTTGAGCTGACATTGGCTTCTGCCTCGCAGTGTTTAGGAGCACACAGGCTCTTACCTCTCTAGACAGCTCCCCCC